CGAGCCGTGGTGAAGCTTTTTTCGAGACAAACGAGTTGAGCGGAACACACGATCCTTCATCATTGGTGCTTTCATTAAGAGTGATCGATCGTGTGTTAAGTTAAACTTTTCCTACCCTATTCTTATTTCTTTTGGTCCAATATTTTTTTACCCCTAGGTTCAAATTTTTTTCGAATTTTTTTTCCTTTTTTCCCCCTTTGGTCCGATTTTTCTTCTTTTTCTTCCATCTTGTTCGAATTGTTTTTATTTTTTTCGTGAGGTATAAAAAAAAAAGAGCTATGACAAACCGTGAGAGGTTCGATATGTTGGAAGAGAGAGTGAGGTCCCTTGGCAACGAACAACACGTGGTCAATGAAAACATGGCGAAATTGGAGCTCATGATCCACGACTTGGCGGAGAAGCTCGAGCGAGTCAACCACAAGCCGCGGACCAGCCGCACACCACGGTCGACCACAGCGGGGTCGAGCAGCTCGGCGTCGAGTCACGTTGACTACGACGAGCGCTCGCGGGCGACGCGCGCAATGCACACAACCCGGCACCACGACGATCGGGGACAGCGCGACAACCGGCAGCACCGTTGGGAGCACGCGCACGCAAGGCCGGAGCTCGCATTGCCGACGTTCGAAGGAGTGGATCTAGACGCATGGTTAAGCCGTGCCACGCAATATTTCGAGATCAACAGCGTCAATAGGAGCGAAAGAGCCAAGATATCCGCCTATCATCTGGATGGTGAGGCTAATGTTTGGTGGCAGTGGATGCTACACAAGAACAAAGATGAGCACATGCGATGGAGAGATTTTGAGAAGGAGTTAATTACCAGGTTTGCGTCTAGTGATTATTTCGATTACGATGAGGCTTTGTCAAGGATCCGTCAAACTGGTAGTCTACACGATTATCAAAAGAAGTTTGAGAGAATTGCTAGCCGGGTACGTGATTGGCCCAAGAGTGCACTTGTTGGGGCGTTTGTTGGAGGCTTGAAGGCCGAGTTGGCAGCTGAGGTGCGCTTGGACAGGCCTAGATCGACAAGGGCCGCGATGGAATCGACGCGCCTACACGAGTATCATCTCATGGCGGTGCGTAAGGCAAGGTCGGGCGACGCGCGCACGGAGCCAAGGCGTGGGAACGCCGCAACCGAGGAGGCGCCCCCACGGGCCAAGGACAGGCCGACATTCGGCGAGGGACGCGCACCACGAGCAACATGCGGAGGTTAACGGAGGATGAGATCCAGCGGCGAAGAGCAAAGGGCTTATGCTTCACATGCAACGAACGATTCACATCGGGCCACAAATGCAAAGGTAAATAAGTCTATTTGTTAGAGTTTGAGGAAGATCATGATAGTGAAACACTTGAGGAGACCTTACTGCATGTGGTCAAGTGCAAAAAACGAGGCTCGAAGATGATCAGGTTTACAGCTGAGATAAAGGATTTGTTGCTGGAAGTACTCGTTGATAGTGGGTCGAGTTTAAATTTCATTGATGAGGAGATAGCCAGGAAGTTGAAGTTGGTGCCAACTAAAGTCAAGATGTTTGGTGTCAAAGTGGCCAATGGACAGGAACTATGAGGAAATCAGTTGTTCAAGAAGGTTCCAATTATGGCACAGGACCAAGAATTAGAGATTGACCTCTACGCCTTACCGCTTAAGGCTACCGATGTAGTGTTGGGAGTGCAGTGGCTCGAAACACTTGGGCCCATTACGACCGACTATAAGTCAGGAAAGATAGAGTTTGGGTGACCAGGGAAACGCATCAAGTTGCGAACCGAGGATCAAGGCGACTCGCCTATTGAGGAGGAGGAGGATATCGAGGAGCTGAATTTTATTATCCTTGAGGACAAGGAAATACTTAAAGAGGAGGGGAATGATACGGAAGTGCTTATTAACCTCGGTGAGTCTGAGGACGAGTCTTGGGACGACCTCAAGAGATGGCTCGAGAGTGGGTTAGAGGAGCCGCAAGTGGAGGAATATTGGCCAACGATTAGGCGTGACTGGCCAAGAGGCTGTGGCAAGAGGAGGCGATCGCGCAACAAGAGACGCAAAGCTAAGCGCGCTAAGAAGAGACACACGGCGGTTGCCCACGATGAAGAAGATTGGGCAGATGCCGAGTGCTTCGTGCCGGGAAAGCTAGGTGAGTGGTGCAAAGCTTGTGCAAGGAAGCGACGCGCATGGCGCATGGAGGCTAATAGAATGGGCGCGCGAGGGGTGGACGATGGGTGGTTAGCGTGTACGGGTGATTGCCATGGGCCAGTGGACGGGTGCGCGGGCATGTGCGAATGGGAGAGCAGCCCAGAGGCACTGGACGTGCAGGACTACCGCGCGGGTAGCAAGGACGCGCGACAGGCAGGGCGCGTAGGCAGCGACGCGTGGGCGCACGCGGGCAATGGCCTAGTCCTTGCAGGACTAGAAATGGCGGGCAGCGACGCGCGGGCGGAGGCGAAGGGCGCACGATGGCCAGCGCGTGCGATGCGGGTGACGCAGACGAAGCCGAGTCTGCCGAGGACTAGGCGTGCGAGGCGATGCGCGCGAAGTGAGGCGGTCGAGAGCTTAGGGCGGCCGAAATGTTTGGAGTGCAAGGCAAGGAAGATCAAGACTCATTAGCTAATTAGGAATCTAGTAGTATTAGGAGATATTTACTTTTCTTCTTGCATTAGTAATTCAAGATGTTAGGATATTTGGTTGCATTAGGATTTATATTCTTGCATGGTTTAGGAGTTCTAGTTAATTTAGGCTTAGATTTATTTTGCACCTATAAATACCCCATGTACTCTTCATTATTGATATGTCTTGAATGTCTTGGAGTTAATGGAAAATAGTTCGTAAAAGCAAACCGTGTGTCTAAAATTCGTGAGAGTTTTGTCATACAAATCGAGTGAACGAGGCTAAGACCCGAGTGATCTCAAAATCATGAAAAGATAAGGCTAATAACTGAGTCGTTCACAACTATCGTCGAGAGCGAGCCGTGGTGAAGCTTTGTTCGAGGCAAACGAGTTGAGCGGAACACACGATCCTTCATCACAGGGCCTCTCCGCGCTGTGCCCAACCAACACGCCCGCGACACCACTACTCCTCGCGCCGTGCCGCGACCCGCACTCCCCTTGCCCCGTGGTGCTTCTTTTCACGCTGTGGCCACCTGTTTCATATAAATATGCGCGTCCAACTTCGATTAGATTATTCTGCCCTCCTGGGGATGAACCGTAGCCCGTAAAAATATGAAAGAACTCTTTTCTCCTTCCCTTCTTCTTTTTGTTCCTTCTTCTTTTCTTCATCTTTCTTTTCCATTTTTCTTCTTCTTCTTCTTCTTCTTCTTAGAATTTAGGGATTAAGCTTGTAATTCGTATTAAACACTTCGATTTGGGATTATTTGTAAGTTTCTTTTCTCTCTTGTTTCATTCATGAATAATGGCTGAATTGGGAGAAATGATTTATTGTGTTGAATTCAATTTGCGTTGTTAATTTCTATTGCTAGGGGTAGGGGATGTATCTATCGGGGTTGATTTGTTCATTCTTGTGTGAGTTGATTTAATTCAGAATTATCTAATTCTTGTTCGATTGATTTATATAATCGAAGAATAACACTTCGATCTTGCAATTGTTGATAATTGAATTTTAATTTGTCGAGTTAGGGCTTTGATAATTCTAAATGATTAGTTGATTAAACACTTTCTAATTGAATTAGCGACTTTTAGAACCGAAATGGGAGAAGTCGTAGACCTAGGCTCGCATGAGGTTGATGATTTCGTAATTGAATAATCTATAGGTTTTGGATAGAAATACGTATCGGTCGATGGACCTCCCCTGTAACGAAGAGTTATTGGGATTGGATAATTGACCTGCGTTGTATGCTCGAACTTGTTAGTCTATGTTCAATCCCTTGTTACAAAGAGTTATTGAGAGCGAAATGCTAGATGTTTGAGCGAGAGTGTCAATATCGAACCGAACAACAGATTGCCCGGTTGTGCTAAAAGAACTTGAAATAATTATCCCCGACTCCCTAGCTTCTTTATTATTGTTTCGTTTATGTTCTTAAATAGATTATTGATTTTGTTATTTTTTAGTTGGTTATTACTCAACCCCCTATCTGATTAGTATGTTAAGGATTTATTTTCTTTTTATGTGTGAACGATACCAAAGTTGAATTCCGAACCGCCTTCCTTGTGAGATCGACCTGGGAAACGAATCTTTCGATTCAGTACTCGGTAAAAATAACAAATTTGTACACAACATTTATGGTGCGGCCAGCCACCGATGGCGGCCGCTTATGGTGCGGCCGACCACAAATGCTGGCCGCTTAAGGTGTGACCGAAGGCTCGAAACCGGCCACACCATCGTCGGGCGCGATCAGTCCCCAACCATTACCTATGCAGCCGACATCGCCGGCCGGTCGTTGCCGCAACAACTTCAATTTTTTTTAATTTTTTTTTTTACAAATTGTAAAAAAAAAAATAAAAATACCGTGCAAATCATGAATCCCTTGTATCGGCTTTGACGAGGATTTTCTATTTTTTCGTGAGTTTTTTGGAGTTGTGACGAGGCGACAAAGAAGCGGCGACGACGAGAGGGAAAGAGAGAATAAGCGAGAGACTCATTTTTTTTTTATTTTTTTTTAATTTGAAAGGAGCATAAAGTAAATAAAGAGGTTGTAGGTAGTAACAGGAGCCGGTGAACAACAATTATTATTATTATTATTATTATTTTGTTTTGTTTCCAGTAACAATGGTTGACCCGATGACTCGAGTCGGGCTTCACCAAAACATTGATTTCATCTGAATTGCAAATACACAGCAAAAGGCCCCGACTTTAAAACACTGCTCTCAAGTGCAGAATGGTCCCCCGCTATTTATAGAAAGATGTACAACAAAATGAACCGATTCTACACACACATTAATCGTCGTTCCTGTTCTGTTCTCTCTCTCCAAACTCCCTGACCAACAAAAACCCACCCTGCACCAGATGTTCACCGGTGTACTGCAAACGCGCTATAGATTTTTCATGCTTGGCTGAACACATGGCGAGCGAGTCGAGCACAGGGTTTCACCAGCACCATCGGCGAGGAATGTCGGCCGGAGAGGTGGTTAGCGGCGGCTGCGAATTGATTCCGATGGGAAGTTATATGTTCCCTAGAGGAGCAATGGGTTTGGGGGGAAACAATGAAGGGATTGTTTTCCCGTCTCAGAATTCTTCTTGTGCGACGACGTTTTTGGTGGATTCCGTTCCTGGGTTGAAGCACGATACGGGTTTGGCCACCGAGTGGTCCATCGATGAACAGTACACACTCGAGGAGGGGCTTGCAAGGTAGGTGGTAATCAAGTTAAATTCTTCAACATTTTTTTTTGTGGTACTATTAAATTAGTTGCTTGAGGTACAACAAAAGTAGGCCTTTTTCTCCTTCTCTCTTTTTTGGTTGTTTTTTTGGACGATGTGCCGGTGGGGGGATTGACCTACTCTCCTGCACTGATGGAGTGAGTGCATGATAAATGAGATGAAAAGTAGTACCAAGGGTATGATATGACACTTCCAAGATAAAAAAAAATCTATTTCTTTTAGAATCTATCTGATAGAGATTGGAAAAAGGACAAAGTGGGAACAGTTTAGATAGGGGAGATTGTATTTCTCTTCGCCATTATATATTTGGGATACATATTTCAAATTTTCGGGTTGCGAAATTTTGGAATTTCAATTAAAACAATCACATAAAATATATGTTAATTTCAGTTTCTTTTGTTCTTTGCTGGCCTTCTTTATTTTCTATGTATGATATGTCAGAATATTTCTCATTTGAACATTATGAACTATAAGATCCTTAGTTGACTTGGGTCGTTGGTCCACTGAGATGTATTTTGATATATATATATATATATATATATATATATATATATTTTATGCTTGTATGAATTTTCCATTTGGATCTGAATTTTACCTGACTTTGAATTCTTCTGATCTATATCACACCATTACCGAATATTCGATGTGTATTGCGTAGATAAATCACATGGGACCAGCTTCTGTTACTTGGTACAAATAAAATTCTAAATTAAACATGTCTCATCCAATTCTTACATATGTTTGCAGTAGCAGTTTGTCACTAGAAATGATTAATAAATGGTGCCTATGGTAGATGGGGCTGCTGTTACCTCCATTTTTTTTTGTATGCATTTGTTTGTTCCATGATCTTTGTCCCGTACAGGAGGGCTTTCGATGTTAGTCAGAGTTTTCAATGAATCTGACAGTCATATATCACTAGGTTTCTGATATCTACTTTTATATTATTCCTTGTGTAACCTGATCGGTTCTGTCTGGTTCGTTTTTACTTGTCAGTGGTAAGCCTGGCACATCGGTGTGGAGCTTTCCTTGCATTTGCATTTGTTTTAAATAGTTTCCAGCAGAACAAACCTAAATATCTGCTTTTATCCTCTTGATACCTTTTCAACTTTGCAGATGTGCCCGTGAACCCAATATTTTGAGGTATATTAAAATCGCAGCCACACTTCGGAACAAAACTGTACGAGATGTTGCTCTTCGATGTAGATGGATGACAGTAAGTTATAGTTCTAGATATTGCAGATAATGAACTATTCATCATAAATTAGGTTGTCAGATTTATGGATGACACAACATGTTCTTTACCTTTATCCTAGTTTCTCTGGTTGTTACTTTGATAGAGAAAGCGAAGGAAACTCGAGGATATGAGATTTGGGATAAAAGAGAAGGACCTGAAGGTAACATTCATAGTTTTTCTTTATAGCATATTGAACTGACATTGAGTAGCTAGCTTTAGTATTGCCCATGGTATAGTTTGTAAAATCCAATATTTGTACCAATGGAGCCAAAAACTGTCAACCAGGGATTTTGTGATTATTATGGTGTATATTCTGTGCATTTATTAGATGTATTTAGCATATATTTTGTTAGCATGTTCATTGGGAATGGATATGAATCACAATAATATGTGTCCATTTATTGTATATATTTAGTTTTATAATATGGATATGAATAGGATTTCAAATGATTGAGCCATAATGACTAAGTTTGTATTTGTAATATTTGTAGCTGACATATTCTCAATGAAAATCAGAAAAACAGTATATCTGACATGGTGCCTGAGACATTCTATTCCTAAACCTGTACCTTTCCAGTGACGTTACTTTCGCCTGGGTCCTTGACTTCTGTGTCAGCCTTCTCTCTTTATATATATATTTTGTGGATTTTACAGTTACGATTTCATGGCTACCAACAACTATTAAAGAAATATTCAAGTATGCTAATGCTCGAAAATCCGGAGATGTTTGTACTATGCATTGTAGCTCAAAAGAAAAAATTGGGGTGGACTTTGCTACTGAATCCGATTTGGTTCTTATTCACTTTCCACTTTTCAGGAAAAAAAAAAAAAGAGAAAATCAGACCTGCTTTTCGTGGATGCATCTTCTCTTAATAATCACCAATTGCATAAAAGCCCGTTTGGGTTTGGGATGAAATGGAACTTAGAGCTTTCAGTAACATCTTTTGCACACATTATTATCATCACCGAGACTGAAGCAGCAATAAGCATATATACTTGAAATACTTGTTACTATTCTTAATCGTAGCTACATGGTTTGTCCATGATACTAAGTATCAGTCTCCTTTTTTCATGATAGGGTCCGAGTCTTATAAAAAATTGTTCCTCAATATCTTGCTTCATTTCTTTCAGGATATTTTTTAATGTTAACTTGTTAGTAAAAGCTAAAAGTTCTAAATGACGTATAGTGACTAATATAGTAAACATGATATACTATTTGGAACGAGTTCTATTCTAAAGGAAAATTAATTTTCAGGAAAAAATTGAGTTATCTTTGAAGAATGCCATGTCTTCAGCATCATCGGTAAAGGTGGCTCCGTATTCTTTGACTGCTAACCATCATGATCCGAGTAAGTACATTCTCTCAGGAGGTTTGACTTATTTGCTACTGTGGTTAACCAATTTCCATTGTTTTTCTAATACATGATTATATTTATATGCACATTTTCTTTTCACATGTAATTTTTTTTCTCTCATTATACTTCACAGCTCCATGTATGGGAGTGTAACTGATTTGAAAAAATAATAATAATGTAGTCATCAATAACAAGAAAGAATGAAGTTATATGACTATGCTCATATTTACATTATGTGTCTATTAGATGTTGCTCGAGAGGGTAAAAATTGTAATAATAACATCGAGAGGATTCACTAGGTCAGCCAACAGTTTTTTTTCCTGATGTCAGAATAATTACTTCACTAATGATTCCCTTTGGAAATGCATTGATGCTATCGTTCAAAATGAAGCTTATTGGTTCTTTTTAGCTTATTAATGTAGCTGAACATGTAAATTTGATAATGGCTGTCAATCCTAAATGAAGTATTGCAAAATGTGGCCATTATACTCACCGTTTATTTTTCTTTTGTGCTCCTCTCCCTTATTTTCGATGCATTTTGTTTATTATAAATGTGTTTATATACACAGACAATTTACCTTTTCGTTTCTACTTGTTCTCATGATTTTGGACTTGACATTTGGGATGCTGTTTTATATTTGTCAAGTTGATACACTTTATGACCAATAATTTTGTGCATGCTCTTCAGTGCTCAGTGGGAAAACAAGGCATCTTTTGGAGGAAAATTACCAGGCTTTTGTTCAAATTTCTACCAATCTTACGACTCTTAAGGTAAGATGTCCGAACCCAACTCTATTTCAGAAGTTGTGGATTTTCTTATCGTAAAATTAACTTAAGAACTTTTTTGGTAGAAGAGTGCTACTTTTAGATGTATTTGGGTGTGTTTATTTGTATTCCACTCAATATAATTTGCCTCTCACTCTCCTGATTTCCGGAGAAATTCTTGTAATGGGGTTATTATTAGTATAATGACCGCTAAAAATTGAGAGCCATGCAGAAGTTTTTTCTCATAAAGCCTGTCAACTTCTCCTCTTACTGCTATTGAATGATAAAGAATTGTTTTTACTCCTGTTGAGGGTGTGTATTTATAGGAATAATGTGGAAAAATGGTTCGGCCACTTTGACCTGGAAATTGAACCCCCTGGACAGAAGGGCCAAAAGATCTGTGCCCTTGCTGATCAGTGGTTAAAAGATTTGAAGTGTTAAATCTTAAGCAATGACCTGTTCAGGGACACTAAGTTGATTATCCTAGTATGTTCCGCACTTTCCTCTGATTCAAAATCTAGCCGAGTTGGCGTTAGGAGATGGCATGGGACTTTGATATTCAATCAAAGTGCATTTAGTATCAAGTTTCACATAATATTAATATTCTCTTACCCCCTCAAGTTTCTTGCTTGTTCCCTTCATCTGCTGTTTGATACTTTGTTGCAGTTGCAGCAAAACATGGACCTCTTTACCCGTACAAGGAACAACTTAACGACAATTTTAAACGAGTCAGTTGCTATCCTTTATCAAGATAACATATTTCTAGTTTTCCTTTGGTGTCTACTCTAGCTACGTCAATTTGTTTGTTTGTTTGTTTTTCCATTTTCTTATTCCGGGTTTTATGCCTACAGCATGAGAAACATGCCTGGGGTAATGAGCCAAATGCCTCCTCTTCCTGTTCTTTTGGATGTGCAACTTGCAAATAGTATTCTTCCACTCTCGTCCAAGGTATCACACTTGATATTATCGTTATCTGAAAGATGTTTCATTTCTCCTGAACGGGTCTGATTTCTTTTATTGCGCCAAGAATACATTTTCTGTCCAATATGTGGAGTAACTAGCTTTACCCTGTTTTCTTGCCAAATATAATTGATCTTTTATTATTGTTGTGGAACATATTGTAGCTGCATAACTCTTGTTTGTGTATTTTTGCATTTATATATAAATGTGTGTGTATGTGGATTACAAATCCCAAACATTGGGCTCCATAAGGAGTCCAATTGCCTTGTTGGCGTGCCACTTCTGTCTTAAATAAAACAATCGCCGATTCATGAAGTTTAGAACGCAGAACAGAATTGTTGTAAGGCATAATTCTTCTCGGCCCAGATTTATTCTCTTTCCAACTACATAGATATTCTTTCTAACAAACTCTGCCGACCCTACCGCGCGGATTTTTTTTTTTTTTTTTTGGTTCTTCAGATTTCTTCTATTTTTCTGAACAGTTGTCTGCTCATTTTTTTTTTTTCCTTCTGTTTCTAATCCACATTGTTTTGGATTGTTTTTCTCTTTTCTGAGTGCTTATTTCTTCTCTTTCGGTGCAACTTCCTCACTCGCAGTATAAGATTATAATTGATTTGCTGTGTTTAAGCGAGCATGAACGAATGAATAAACCTATGCCAACAAACAATATATTAGGAATTTCAGACTTTGGTACACTAAAGTTTATAAACAGTGTATGAATCAACTGTCGAACAGCTTTGAGCAACTGAATGATTTCGTTAGTTTCGTTTATATGTGCTTGGCGTATGCTTCTTTGCGTATTAAATCGGAAAATCTTTGAGGGCTGGCCTTATTTGTCATTGGACTAAACCACAATGTGTTATCAATTTGCACCAAGTTCATAACACTATCTTTCCTTGTTTGTTTCAGCCAATGAGTTTGAGTTCATCAGGTATGAGAGTGTTGAAGCAAGAGCCAGACTGTTGATTCATAATAGCTGTTAACTTTGATCTCTGTAGAGATTGTACCTACGTGTATTTGAGTTCAACTGTAAAGAAAGAAGGTAAGACAAACTATTGATTTGGGATCGCCTTTTTCTTGGAAGAAACAATGTTGAAAATCGCTGCAAACAATATTATTGACATAAAATCATAATTTCTCTCTTGAAATATATGATGGCAAATTATTTTTATTCTGTGTTTCTCATGACTTAAATTATATTATTTTTATCGGTTTATAAATAAATCTTATCGGATATAACTCATATTGTTCTTGATATTACTTGTTAAGTTATGCCTAGTGGGCGATGTTATCATCTAAATGAGGATTTATTTTTGGTAATAATCAATGATAAAATATATTATATAATTTATTTCACAACTTCTCCATTTTTCGTGAGAAGAGTGGACATTTGTATTTTGAAATAAAAATATCCACATATTTCATTATTTTTTCAAGTATCCGAATATCAATTTATATCTATATAATGGACTATTCTACATTGTTATAATTGACATGATTTTGGGCAGGAAATTTTTTTTGTCTATATTTGTCATTTAATTAATATTTATTTACTTGCAAATCTTATGCATGAAAAACATAGTAAATTTTTATATACTCAACGACTATTACTCATTAACTACAAATTGGCTTAAATTGAAATTTTGACCGTATTAGATATATTTTCAATAAGATCTTATATTCATTCAATAATAATTTATTGACACAATTCAAAAAATTATTATGGAAATTGATTTGATCCAATATACTATCATCTATGGTTGTAGGTATTAATTTAATTAATTATACTCACTATTCAAAAGTACTTAAAATATTTAATAAAATAATTAGAATAACAATGTTTAAATCATACTAACTTAACAAATAATTTAAAATATTCATAAGAGTTTCTGAAATGTAGTCAATTTTACTATAAAAAGGTAAATCCTCATTGAATATATCATATACAATGATAATGCTATTGAAAACTTAAATAATATACTAATAAAAATAAAACTTGATGGTCGGGTGCAATTCAGAATTATAAATTTCACCTTAGAAGTATCTATGTACATTAAAAAACTATTAAAATTTTAAAATTATATTTTTTTTTCTTATATACTATCTTATAAATGAAAAATAACTTAATAAAATAGCAATATAATAATTTAAATTATAACACTTGGTAATTGTAAAAATATATAATATATCTAAATATTCGATTAGATACTATGTAGTTCATTATATAGGTTGAAAAAATGAATTAAAGAATAAGTAGAAATAAAAAATGAATACATAAAAATAAAGTATTTAACCATTAAAAGTTTATGTGTTGCATTAGGATTAAACTTACTAAAAATTAAAATTTTATCTATAAAAGTTTTAACATTTAATGCACTTAATGTGTATAGACAATATCATGTAGGAATGATATAACTAGAATGTGTTATATACTATCTTGTATTAAAAAATAATAAAATAAAATTCAAAATCCTAATAAAATTTATTTCTTCTTGAATTATAGATGTTACTTCCTTATTTTCGTAGAGAGAACCTATAACGCCATGTTGTTTTCAAAATGAAAAATGCCGAATTTTAAAAAATAAGAATAATTTTCAGTTTTTTTTTTTTTTTCGTAATTCTTTATACACTTTTTAAAATCATTTTCCGGACATTGCTCAACATCTAACAACAATCAAAGTTTAACCAATAACTATACATAGCAATCTCGAATCAAAGGTCATACCATAACAATAATTTCAAATATTCGATTACATAATCTTAAATCACCTTGGAGTCATCTGCAAAAAAAATCCGGTTATAACTATCGCGAACTTCCCATTTCAATATCCTCGGAATATCATGGTCACCAACGCTGGTGCATACTACAGCTTTAGCGGTGTCGCATACCTCGAACCATGTCTGAAGAGCCAATATAAGACCATAAAACCTATACAGATACCAGCGCACTCAACCTTCTCAAATATGTGCATTTGCTCTCTACTGTGAATTGACTGCTTCACATAGTATCGTAAACTCAAAAACATCTTTTTCCCAAGCGTGACTGTAATATCTCATTCAGTAATTAATAAAAGTAATTATTTTAGTACTGAGTTTGAACTAAATTACTTTATTAATAATGCTCGTTTCTAGTCCCGAGCAAGTTAGTAAGTTATTCAGCTATAAGTTCGACTTTATGTCTAAAGTATTATTGCTTAAATTCTATCTAGTAATTGAGACCGTTCAAGTTAATAATTAATTATGATCTGTTAATTTTTATAAATATATTAATAAGACGGGATTAATTATTATAAGATAACGAATAATCGAAATTGAGTATATTTTGATTAATCGTTTAAGATAAGTTGGGAATCGAACCAAGCATGTTCGGTCATGAGTTGAGACAAATAGGTCTCGGAGAACGGTTAAGAATCAGTGTAAACAAGAAAGTTCAACAAGTTTAAATAATTTATTTAGACAATAAGGTTTATTAAGAGAATAGTCGAATTTATATTCGAAATATTCGATTTTCGGTCGTAGTCGAAATTTAAGTCCGATTCAAGTTCCGTAAAATTTATTTTTCCTCTATATTTTTTAGTAGACATTAAGATTAAGTTTAGCAAGTATTTTCAAGAGTAAATTAGACAATTTTAAATTAATTGTGAAAATTTGTAATTAAGTATTTTATTGGAAAAATGAAGTGTTTTTGTCATTTTAAACCTAGTTTCTCCTCATTAAACCACATGATATTGATA